AACAAAAAATAAATAAAAGTTACCACAAAAAAATAGTTGAATCAGTTCACAACTCCACCAACAGTGCATTTATGTCTCAATTTTCCTACATCCCCTCTAACATTTGGAATTTCCCTTTTCTGTCATATTAGCTAGTCTGGTAGGTGTGGGGTGGTAGGTAGCTCAGAGTTGTTTTAAGTTGTATTTCTCTAATCAATAGTTATTTATAGCATTTTTCCTATACCTATGGATAGCTTTGATTACTTTATCTAAAAACTGCCTGTTCATATCCTTTGACCACTTATCAGTTGAGGAATGACTCTGATTTCTATAAATTTGATTCGGTTCTCTACATACATTCCCCAGTTCTGATTACTATTATATATTTCTCTCTATCCTATTTCCCTCTATTTATCCTACTCTCTCTTCTTTCATCCTGTCCTTTCTCAAAAATGTTTTGCTTCTGACTTTTACTTCCCCTAATTTGCCCTCCTTTCTATCAGCTCTGCTCCTTCTCTTTTCTCCTCCCCTCCTACTTTCCTGTACAATAAGATAAGATTTCTATACCCATTTGAGTATGTATGTTATTCTCTCCTTTAGCCAATTCCTATGAAAGGTTCACATGCTCCCCCCCCCACCTCCACTATATTTCCCTCCACGGTAAAAGCTCTTTTGCATTAGATAATAGAACTGTAACCAGGGTCCCAGCTCCCTTGGGGTGGCAAACTCTGGTAGACTAGTGCTGCTCCTCACCCAGGACTACAACCCAGATCCAAGTATGGGCAAAGTGACAGAGTCCTGCTCCCAGTGCCAGGAAAGGGACCTCTGAAACCTCCTTCTGACCAGTTGTTTGACCCCCTTACCATCTGAAGGCTGAGAAGTTTAGAAACTGCCACTGCCACCACTGATTCAACTGCCTCCATGGCACATCCTGTGCTGGGTTGCTCTCCACTCTCATTCTGGTGCAACAGACCTTTCCTGCTGACCTTTTAAATTGTCTTGTGCTAGAAAATTGTTTCACCTTGTCCTTTTGTGGGTTCTGCTGCTCCAGAATTTGTTTTTAGGCATTATTTAAAGGTGTTTTGAGAGGTGTTTGGGGGAGAACTCAGGTGAGTTTCCTGCCTCTTCTCTGTCATCTTGGCTCCATTGAAGGTTGCTTAAACCTCCATTTCTTAGATACCCCTTTGTTCCTCAGATCTTTAAAGTCTGATTTCTGTATCCATTACTCTATCACAGTGGTGTTCTAAGATCATAAATAACCCTTCTTTTTTATTTTCTTTTTCTTTTTTTTTTTTTGGTGAGGCAATGGGGTTAAGTGACTTGCCCAAGGTCACACAGCTAGTTAAGTGTCAAGTGTTTGAGGTCAGATTAGAACTCAGGTCCTCCTGACTCCAAGGCCAGAGCTCTATCCGCTGCACCACCTAGCTGCCCCTATAAATGGCCCTTCTAATAACTAGCTCAAATGTCTCTTGTTTCATTCCTCATCTTCCTTTACCTCTCTGAAGTATTTGTGAAAACATGGTAACTAAATACATTCACTGGACTCACAGAAGCAAGGGAAATAACCAGAATAACTAGTAATTATGCCACAATTCTGACACATGGTGATGGCATTTCACAACCAGTAAGGAAATGTGCTGTGTTGTCTGTTTATGACTCTTCCCCTCTGCTCACTCCCCTGGAAGTCTCACGCATAACAGCTATGCTTGGTACCTACTCCAGAGTCAGTTCATCTGAAGGGTGAACTAAAGATGATTTAGTAATTCAGTAAGCCTGAACTGCATACCTATGGAAATATTCTAGGACTGCTTCATCCCTAATACATTTTTCATTCATTATAGCTCCACTGGCACCATAGAAACTGTCTTCCTCCTTGCCCTGCCAGTCTGAAGGAATTGGTACAAGTTGCACATAAGCTCATGAAGCAAGCTGTCTTTGCAAAAGTGGTTTTACTGCAAAAGTAGCCTCACGATGTAACAGTAGCCAGCCTTCCATTATTATAGGAAATGACATCCCTCTTTCACTTAAATTTACTTTAGTATCTTTTCTCATCTTTAAATAGTGGTAGAAGACACTAACCTTCTCTAGACATTGTAACCTGACATTTAAAACTCAAACCCAATCCATTCCTCTTCCCCCTTTCTCTCCTCCCCTCCCCTTTCTTCTCCTCTGAGGATACAGAGAGTATAGAATTGACAGATGGAGCACCAGAGAAGTGGAAGGCTGAAACATTCAACCAATTACAGCTTTTGATATATGTTAATGCCCATGGAGTAATAGAGTTAACTATTACTCTATTAGTATTATTATCTATACTATGCTCTAATAATATTACTAGTAGAGGATAGCCAGTCAGTGCCCATTGATGGAGTAGGTGTAATATATTCCTTGTATATAAACTTAATGTGCCACAGAAGCAGTGTAGTACAGTGGAGAGTCCTGCATTCAAAGTCAGAAGACCTAGGTTCAAATCCCAATTCTGCCACTACCATCTGTGTGACTTTGGGAAAGTCACTTAATCAGTCTGAATCTGTAAAATGAGAATGTTAGTCCTCAAAGGTCCTTTCTAGCTCTAAACCTAGCGTTCCAAGAACCTAACTTTTCTGAGGTGTTCCTCATCTATCACATGATCTTGAAAATCTTTACACCTCGGAAGAAAACCTAGTGATCCAGTCAATAAACCCAGCATTGTGTGTGTAGAGACAGAAGGAAGACTGGCCTAATAAGGGTGAAGAAAAATAATTTGAGATGAGAAAGGTGTAGACCTCATTAATAATTTGAATATCAAATTTTGGAGTGAATTCATAGACACTTCACCATTTATATAGCATCTTGCTTTGTAAAGTCAATATTAGTTTTACTTTTGTGACTGGAAGTATTTATGGTGTAAGGGAAAGGAATGATAAATTGTATTTGAAATCATCGATTCAACAAGTGGAAGCTAATAAAAGATGTCTCACAGATGTCAAGAAATAATAAAACAAAAGCATGAAAAAGCATGAAAAAAAGAAGACAATGTGAAATATCCCATTAGTAAACAACTGATTGAGAAGATGTGGGAAACTTGGAACACTAATGCATTGTTGGTGGAGTTGTGAACTGATCCAACCAGTGTGTAGAGCAATTTGGAACTTTGCCCAAAGGGCTATAAAACTGTGCATACCCTTTGACCCAGCAATACCACTTCTAGGTCTATATCCCAAAGAGATCACAGAAATAGGAAAAGGACTCACATCTACAAAAAAAAGCGTAGCAGCTCTTTTTGTGGTGGCCGAAAATTGGAAATTGAGGGGATGCCCATCAATTGGGGAATGGCTGAACTAATTGTAGTATTTGAATGTAATGGAATACTATTGTTCCATAAGAAATGATGAGCAGGCGGATTTCAGAAAAACCTGGAAAGATGTATTACATAAACTGATGCTGAGTGAAGTGAGTAGAACCAGGAGAACATTGTACACAGTAACAGCCACACTGTGCGATGACTAACTTTGATAGGTTTAGCTCTTCTCAACAGTGCAAGGATCTAAGACAACTCCAAAAGACTCATGATGGAAAATGCTATCAACATTCAGAAAAAGAACTATGGTGTCTGAATGCAGATGGAAGCATACTATTTGCTCTCTCTTTTTGTTGTTATTTTGTTTCTTCTTTCTCGTGTTTTTTTCCATTGGTTCTAATTCTTCTTTACAACATGACTAATGTGAAAATATGTTTACTATGAATGTATATGTATAGCCTCTGTCAGGCTGCATGCCATCTTGGGGAGGGGGAAGGGGAGGGAAGAGGAGAAAATTTAGAACTCAAAATCTTATGGAAATGAATGTTGAAAACTAAAAATAAATAAATAAATTTTAAAAAAGAAATTGTCAATTTATGCAAATTTTAGAAGGTAGGAAAATAGTCACATTGGTATGTAAATAAAAGCATTGCTATTAATTCAGATTTTGTAATTTGTGCATATTCACCATATTACTAATATCATGTAAGTACAAAAAATGAATTAAAGTGGTAATCTTACTATTTGAACAACTACTAATACTTGATGAATTTTTCTCAATAAAATTTTGTTTCTGCTACATATTTTCCATAAAAAAAATTTATTGAATTATTGGTAACTGGAATATTAACCAGAGAGATTTTTTTTGATGATTTAAAAAAGTTACATGTTTAAAACATTTTTATGTATGGATTTAATTGAATAGGATTTCACTGGATTTCAGATCCAGTGGGTTTTGGCTTTTTTCTGCAAACACAAAAAGAGAGATCTGATAATGATTCTAGGTAGAGAAGTATCATCTATGCTTTCTTTTACTCATAGGTGATAAAGCAAATAAGTAGCATACAATTAAAAGTTATTAAGCACTTATTTTGCTCAATACTATGAGGACACACAAAAATAAATGAGATATGGTTACTATCCTTAATTAACTTTTATCTAATTGGTAAGATAAGATATATAGATATATTGACGTAAGGGAAAGGTGAATCATGTCTTCTCTTCCTTAGATACACAAATAACGACAGTTTGAAATAGAAGTAACTAGTGCAAAAGAGTAGAACAAAGTTCTACAGTGTTAATAAGAGAACAAGCACTTTGGGCTAGGGTGATCAGAGGAGGTTTCATGAAGAAAGTTGTATCTGATGCTGGACTTTGAAAGATAAATTTTATCAGTTGGCAAAGGATTGGTGTGTGTGCAGGTGGTGGGGAGATTCTGGGATTATGAATCGGAATAAACAAAGACATGGAGGTAGGGAAGCATAGGATATGTTTGGGAAATGGAGCATTGGGTTTATGAAAGGAAATAATATAATTTAAATAGTATTAATAATAATTAAATGGCATATGCTTTTTCAGTAGACAGTGAGGAATGAGTGAAAATTTTTGATGAGAAAGAGAAAAGGCATTGAAGTTTTACTTTTCAGAAAGTAGAATTGTAATGACAGAATGAATCATTGTGCATTTTGCCTCAAATTTATCATTTCACCATACTTCTGTTTATTCCTTATTTTTTTCAAAGGAATTTAGAGCAAAATCAAGAGAATGGGACAAGCAAGAAATACTATATCAGAACCATCTGGTTTCTTTAGATGCCCAACAAAAATTGTTATCTGAGAAGTGTAATCAATTTCAGGTACAATATTTAAGCAGCTCTTCTGAATTAAAAAAATTAAAGATTAAAACATTGCTATCATTTACTACCTAGGATGTAATCAATTCATTGAGTTGGATACCACTTCTCTATGCTACTCTCTAAATCTAATTTACAAAGAAGGTACTGACCTGCATTGAAAGAGGGAGTTTCCTTATTTGGGAGTTTCCTATACTAATAAAATCACATTCTAGTGTCTATTCTCTATGTAACTCATGTGTCAGAAATTCCTAGGACATAAAAGGGCCCAGTACTCTTTGAGATATTTTCCCATTTCTTTTGACTCAAAAGTCAAGAAAATGTAATGAGAAAATAATATGGCAATGGAAATGCAAAATAACATTTTGAAAGAAATATTTTGAAAAATGAAATTGGAATGTGGTGATGTATTAGATATTGAAGAGGAGAGAGGAAGAGAAGTCAATGGATGACTCCAAGTTTTAAGCTCAGGTAACCGAAGGAAGTTATCCAGTTGGCACCATTAAGAGAAAGAAAGCATTTTTGAAGAATTGATTTGGGTATGTATTCTGTCTTGGGATAGGGTGTTAGAGAATGAGAAACTTTATCTTTGATAGTGCAAATTAAGATATCCAGGTGGAAAAGTTCAGAAAGCAGGTGGGATTGGAGATGTCAGGGCTGTGGATATAAAATTTAGAATCATTCTCATAAAGGTGATATTTGAATCAATCATGATATATGAGATCTCTGAGTAAATAAGTCTTCTAAAGGCAGAGTGCCAAGGACCAGACTTTAAAGAATAGCTCCATTAAGTGGGTGGGAGGAGCAATGGGAGACAGAAGACTTTTTAGATCCTGAATGACAGAAAACCATGAGGTCCAAGAGAGAATTTAGAAAAGGAGTGATAAACTGCTTCCTATGTTGCAGGAAGGTTAAGGAGATGGTGAACTTTACTAAGTTTAAAGGTTCTATTAGGAAGTCACTGGTGACCTGTTAGAGTGCAGAAGAAACAGTGAGTGGTGAGAAAATAAGCCCTGTGGAGTAGGCCAGTTATTAAGAAGTTTATTAGTGAAAACAAGAACAAAAATTGGATTATGGGTAGAGTAGGTAGTAGAGCCAAATGAAGATTTGTTTGTTGTTGTTTTTTTTTAAGATGGAGAAACATAATTATTTAAAGGACAGAAGGAAACAATGGAAAGGGAAAGGTTGAAGAGTGAGGGGATAATTAAGGGAACAAAGTATCAGAAGAAAGGAGAGGAAGGAGAGACAATGGAGAGATGAAGACATTACCTTTCAAAAAATAATACGTCAGATTATTTTTTCTAATTTTTTTTGGTATTTCTTATTCTTTTGTTAGTCTAAAGATGTTTTTCTTTGATTTCTATACTTTTTCTTGTCTTTCAGAAACAGGCCCAAAGTTACCAATCTCAACTAAATGGGAAAAAGCAGTGTCTAGAAGATGCCAGTCTTAACAACCCTGAACTTGCTCTGTTGACCTGTGAACCAGATATTAGTAGTGATACTGTTGAAAGAGATGAATTCATTATTGAAAAACTGAAGTCAGCTGTGAGTGAAATAGCAATAAGTAGGAATAAATTACAAGATGAAAATCAGAAGCTTCTACAAGAACTGAAAATGTACCAAAGACAGTGCCAGGTGAAGAAATGAATGTTTTTGTTTTAACTCGTATTAACTAAAAACTAAATAAATGGTGACCTCAACAAAACCAGAAACAGGTTGGGAGGCTACTTTTAGAGAGTATGTGTGTATATGTGTGATGTCTATACACACCTGAGAGGTCATCTAGTCCAACCCATACCTGACCAAGAATCTGCTCCACGTCAATATGTAGGCATGTAGTCATGGAACCTATGCTTGAATACAGAAAGAGGAGCCCATTACCTCTCAAGGGAGACTAATCCACTTTGGGGCAGCTCAGATTATTAATAAATCTTTCCTCACTTCAGGCAGAAAGAGCATGAAAAAGAAGGCACAGAGACAGGAAAGTACATGACATTTTCAGAGAAGAATGAGTAACCCAGTTTGGCAAGGACAGCACTTTAGCCACTGCACCACATTGCCCCTCAATTTTACATTAAAATTGGATATATCTCTATCCTGAAAGGGGGGAAACAGTGTCTAGACTCTGTTTGCACATGCAATATGCAGTACTCTTGGTCTACTTAGAAAATAATACTCAGAATAATATTTTTGCTTCTTTAGTCATTACCCTTCTAAAGTTTACATACTTTTGCTCCATTCTAATTTTTAAGGAAGTCTTTTCTGCAGTGACCTTTTGGACTTCCTTTTCCATTTGACTAATTTTGCTTTTTAGAGCATTCTTCTCCTCATTGGCTTTTTGGACCTCTTTTGCCATTTGGGTTAAGCTATTTTTTAAGGTGTTATTTTCTGCAGTATTTTTGGAGTCTCCTTTAGCAAGCTGTTGACTTGTTTTTCATGATTTTCTTACACCACTATCATTTCTCTTTCCAGTTTTTCCTCTACTTCTCTTATTTGCTTCTCAAAATCCTTTTTGAGCTCTTCCAAGGCCTGAGACTGATTCATATTTTTCTTTTTCTTTTTTTTTTGCATTTTTTTTCCTTTTAGGCAATTGGGGTTAAGTGACTTGCCCAGGGTCACACAGCTAGTAAGTGTCAAGTGTTTTGTCTGAGGCCGAATTTGAACTCAGGTCCTCCTGACTTCAGGGCCAGTGCTCTATCTACTGTGCCACCTAGATGCCTCTCATTCATATTTTTCTTGGAGGCTTTGGATGTAGTAGGAGCTTTGACTTTGTTGTCTTCTTCTGGTTGTGTGTTTTGATCTTCTTTGTCACCAAAGTAAGATGCTATAGTCTGACTTTTTTTGTGCTGTTTGCTCATGATCCCAGCTAATTATTTGCCTTTTAAACTCTTTGTTAAGGTAGGAGTCTGCTTCCATTGTGGAGAATGTACTATCCCAAGCTTTGGGGGTTTTGTGCAGCTGTTTTCAGAGATACTTCTAGGGACCTGTAAATTTTCAGTTTTTCCAAGGTGATATGATCAAAGGCAAGGTGTTTATTCCTTTCCTGGCCTGTGCTCTGGTCTATGAGTGATCATAAGCACTCTTTTCTGCCTTGGCACTGTGAGGACAATTCCCTCTCCACTGCCACCACAAGCTCCACCACACCAATGCTCCTCCACAGCCCAGAACCACCACCCAGAACTGTGACCCAGATCCACTCATGAGCAAAGAAAGAGAATCCTGCCTCAGCACCAGCAAAGAGATCCCTGCAATCCCCTCTGATCAGCCACTTGATTCCCCTTCCATCTGTGGCCACCTGCTGCCTGGGGCTGCACCAGGACTGGGGCCAGACCCTCCTTTCTCACGGTGATTACAACCCTTTCCAGCTGACCTTCTAAGTTTGTCTTTGGCATTTGTGGGTTGAGAAGTCTGGAAACCGCCCCAGCTGCAGCTCCCCTTGATTCAGTCCCCTGAGGCTCCAGGTTTGCTGAGGCCTCATCCTTCTTGGTGTGGCCCATGATGAACTGCCCTCCTCTCCTAGCCTGTGTAGCAGACCTTCCCAATCAACCATCCAGGCTGTCTTGGACTGGAAATTTGTTTCACTCTGTCTTTTTATGGGTTCTGCAGCTCTAGAGTTTGTTTAGAGCCATTTTTTACAGGCATTTGGAGCGGTTTGGGGGAGAGTTCAAGCAAGTCACTGCTTTTACTACGCCATCTTGGCTCCACCCCCTAAAGTTTACATACTTTTTGGTCATCCTCAGTGTAGATCCATAATGAATGACATTCAAATACTTATAACTGGGCTTTTATGTAGAATTTTAAGATTTTTTTTTTTTTTGCTTTTTGGTGTAGCATTCTTTCTTTTTTTCTTTTTTTCTTCTTAAGTAACTTGCTCAGGATCACACAGCTAGTAAATATCAAATGTCTGAGACTGCCCCGAATTTTAAGATTATTGATCCCCATGTTATCTACCAGGCAAATTAAATTAATTTATTCTTTATTTTTTAACATTCTATTCTTTTTAAATTTTGAGTTTCAAATTCTCTCCTTTGCTTCCACCCCCCCCCCCACTGACAAGGCAGGCAATTTGATATCAATTATGTATGTGAAATCATGGAAAACATTTCCATATTAGCCATGTTTTTTTAAAGCAAAAAAAAAATTAAGGAGATGAGAACATTATACTTCAGTTTGCACTCAGAGTTCACAGTTCTCTCTTTGGAGGTAGAAAAAATTTTTTCATCAAGAGTCCTTTGGAACTGTCCTGGATCATTGCATTAATCAGAGTAGCCAAGTCTTTTACAACTGATCATCATTATAAATTTATTGTTACTGTGCACAGTGACCTCCCAGTTCTTCTCACTTCACTTCGCATCAATTCATATTGTTCTTGTCACGTTTTTCTGAAACCATGCCCCTCATCATTTCTTACAGCACACTAGTACTCCATCACAATCATATGCCAATTTGTTCAGCAATTCTCTAATTGATGAGCATCCTTTTGATTTCCAATTCTTAGCCACCACAAAAAGAGCTGCTATAAATATTTTTGTGCATGTAGGTGCTTTTCCTTTTTCTTTGATCTCTTTGGGGTGCAGACCTAGTAGTGGTATTGTTGTATCAAAGCCCTTTATGCCTAGTTCTAAACTGTTTTCCAGAATGGTTGGACACCATTAGTTCACTAGTGAACCTATTTTTCCCTCATCCCCTCCAGCATTTATCATTGCTGATAGGTATGAGGTGGTACCTCAGAGTTGTTTTAATTTGCATTTCTCTCATCAACAGTGATTTTAAAGCATTTTTTCATATGATTATAAATAGCTTTGATTTCTTCTTCTGGAAACTGTCTATATCCTTTGATCATTTATCAATTAGTCATTTATTTTTATAAATTTAACTCAGTTCTATACTTAGTATATATTTGGAAATGAGGCCTTTATCAGAGAACCTTTAAAAATTTTTTATATTACTTCATTGTCTATGGTACCTTTTAGCAAAATGTAGTTTCCCAGATTATTCCTTTTAATTATGTCTATTTATTTTCACTTTTGCTTTGTCTGAGATCATGATTGCTACTCCTGCCTTGCTTACTTCAGCTGAAGCCTATTAGATTCTGCTCCAGCCCTTTATCTTAACTCCGTGTATGTTTCTGTTTCAGGTTTGTCTCTTATAAACAACATATTGTTAGATTCTGGTTTCTAATTCCAGTCTGCTATCTGCTTCCATTTTATGAGTTAACTCATTCCCATTTACAGTTATGATTACTAATTGTGCTTCTCTCCATCTGATTTTCATATGTTTCTTCTTCTCTGTCTTTTTATCCTCTTCCGTCTCAAAAATATATTTTGCTTCTAATAATTGCCTCCCTTAATCTGCCCTCTGTTTTATCATCTCCACCCCCTTTCTCTTATTCCTTTCCCTTTCTCCTGTAGGGTAAGTTATATTTCTATGTACAACTGAGTCTGTATATATTCTTCCCTTTTAAACCAATTTCAATGAGACTGAGGTTCAAGTATCGCCCACCAGTCCCAGCCCCATTGTCCATATCCACTGTAAAAGCTCTTTCTCTTCTTTTATGTGAGGAAATTTTCCCCATTCTACCTCTTCCTTCCTCCTTTTCCCAGTACATCCCTCTTTCTCACTTCTTTTTTTTTCCCTTGGAGAGCATTCCAACATAATTAACTCATACCCATGCCTTCTATCTATGTAAATTCCTTTTAACTGCTCTAATAATGATAAAATTCTTAGCAGTTACAGGTGTCATCTTCCCTTATAGAAATGTAAATAGTTTAACTTAATTGAGACCTTTCTTGTTACTTTCTTGTTTACCTTTTTATGCTTCTCTTAAGTCTTATGTTTGAATGTCATATTTTCTATTTGGCTGTGGTATTTTTATCAGGAATCCTTGCAAGTCCTCTATTTTATTAAATGTCCATTTTCTCCCAAAGGATCATACTCAATTTTGCTGGTTAGGTTATTCTTGGTTCTAATTCTATTCCTTTGCTTTCTGGAATATCATATTCTAAGCCCTCCATTCTTTAATATGGAAACTGTGGCTCCATGATATTTGAATTATTTCTTTCTTGCTGCTTGAAGTGTTTTCTCTTTGACCTGGAAGCTCTGGAATTTGGCTATAATATCCCTGGGAGTTTTCATTTGGGGATCTCTTTTTGGAGGTAGTTACTGGATTCTTTCAATTTCTATTTTGCCCTCTGGATCTACAATACTGTGGTAGTTTTCCTTGATAATTTCTTGAAATATAATGTCTAGGCTCTTTCTTTGATCATGGCTTTCAGGTAGTCCAATAATTCTTAAATTATTTCTCTTTTACCTATTTTCAGGGTAGTTGTTTATCCAATGAGATATCTCACATTTTGTTCTTTTTTTTCATTCTTTTCATTTTGTTTTATTGTTTCTTGATACCTCATGGAGTCATTAGTTTCCACTTCACCAATTCTAAGTTTTAAGGAATTATTTTCTTCACTGAATTTTTGTGCCTCCTTTTCCATTTGGCCAATTCTACTTTTTTAAAAAGTTCTCTTCAGTTGGATTTTTGTGCCTCTTTTTACCATTTAACCAATTCTGTTTCTTAAAAAGGTGTTATTTTCTTCATTATTTTTGTGCCTCTTTTTATCATGCTATTGTCTTTTCATAAT